ATTTTCGTAACTTTCAATTATTTGCCAATAGATAGCGAAAGTGAGAACTTTTTTCAATCATACGCTCCAGTAGTCCAGTAGTGGCTGTCTTGTACAATTTCTAGGCTTGCAACAACGTTTCGCAAACCGCTCACGGACCAGTCTCGATTGATATGGTCAATTAATTGGCATCCGAATTTTGTATCGCTGTCGGCACTAAAATTATATCTTGCTTTAGTTCTTTCATGTTCGTCTAGTATTATTTTTATTTCAAGTTCATTAATATCCTTTTTCACTTCTACAATGGGTGTGTCTAATGAAATTACAAATTAAATGTTATCTTTGATTTTAAAATAATTAATTTTAAATTCTTATTATGGACTTACTACCAACTTTCAAACAATTAAATATAAAAAATAAAACACTGCCTCGCCTTTACATTCCTTCAATGTTCGCAAAGGTGCAACATTGTAAGAATTACAAGCAAAGCAATAATGATTATCAACAAATGTAACGACCGATTCAATCAATTCCCTAATAAGTTATGGCCACAAAAACACGCCATTACTTTTGTAAAATGTCGAGATACTAATTATTTATAAGTACACGTTGAGTTACAATTATGTCGTTCTATTCCTCCTTTTACAGTGGCATGGTTGTCATAAAAACCATTAAGAGAGCAACAATCTAGAATCGGTACAGATCGAGTAAGATCGTAATGTGGACGGCCATTCTAGGTCGGTACGTGCTTAATTAGTGTGGGTAGAATTATGTAAGCCAGCCGGGCGTTTCTTTTATTAACCAACCTTGATTCTTGGACTGATTGAGATATTTTTATAAATGTAACTACACATTGTAAACAACTTTTGTTTTGTAGTTCTTCCTGATTATTATTAAAATTCTTTTTGTTATATTTTTCCTATTACATTTGTTACACTTCATTTTATTGCTACTTATTACTATTACTTTACCTAGCATTACAGTAGTAGAACTATTTATATCAGCAACAAGTACAGAAACCACAATTGAGTTTCCTTAGCGATAATTACGAACTACTGGTTGCTAGCCTAGCCTAGCCCACTGACCTATTTCACAAACATTTAGAACTTGCGAAAGATAAAGAGCTGATAATGTAAGCAGATAACTATCTCGAATTCTGTTCCTATATCGTTAACGTGCTGCGATTAAATTTTATATTATGTTTTTATTTTTATTCAAGCGTTGTTTACACTTTAAGATACAATTTTAATACAATGTTTTGAACTACATAAATATATTGCTTAACTGAATTACCTTCGTTTACACCCAAACGAGTGAGAAATACGTAAAGAGATTGTGTTTATTATTAAATATCCGGATTTTTGTTTACTGAAAAGTGGTGGTGAAAGTGAGTGTTTGTACACCGAAGGCCGCTTGTAAAAGGCCACGCAAATATTAAAAAAAAACAAAGCATTGGCTTTATCTTTCATTCACGTTTAGATAAAGGTCCCTTACGAAACGATTTTTTATAAATACGTGTAGTGCCATCTGTTAGCGGTAGCAGAAAAGTATCGTAGAACGCCATCTAGCGTGATCTATAAAAACTGGTTGCGAAAGAGAAAGTGCTTGAAGCTGTGGATAGCGAAGCTAGAGGGCGGGTAATACAAACATACTTAAAAAGTTTCGGATTTAAATATTTTTCCGTGATAACGTTTAATCTTACCGTAATTTGTTGATAAACAGAAGTAAAAAAAGGAATCCTTTGCTTGTGGAAACTTCTTTAGATATAAGATCATTATCAAGGAAATAGCAGTAGCATGCAGATATTATACTGAAACTACAACCTGCTGCAATTAGGGCTGCCATTGAAAAGAATATTAAAAAATGCGACTTTATATGGAGTTTTCTCAAAGTAAATTTCCACTAAGGAAACTTACTCAACTAATGCAAAATAAATGCAAAATGGTTATAAAAGCTTACTTTTCATGCATGTTACAAGACAACTGAAACAAAAATTTGAATAAGAAATAATTTACAATGCAGCGTAACCTTCGTTTCTGTTGAATAAAATATCAAAAATGAGCCATACGAATACTTTTACAATTCTAACAAAACACTGGTCTATTCTTGGTTTGACCTTGAACATTCAAATCAACTCAAAATGATTGATACCCAATAAACATTTTTTTCATCTGAACAATATTACTTACTATAGTTAACTCTTCTTGGTTGAACATAGTGTACTTATGGACAAACAGTCACATCTAGTCGATCAAGTGATTTTCCCTTCGATGCAACGAAGCGAAAACTAATTACAATGCGGCTAGTGACAACCACTTTGAGTCATCGACACAATCGTGTAATCAACCCTGAAATAGATTAGATAGAAAAAGTTTCTAATAATGAATTCAATGAACTTACCATTGTTATTGAACCTTCATGAACATTTCAAACGAATACTGAAAACCCTAACGACATTGAACCAACAGACGTTGCACAAGATTATTTTTAAATAAATGTTACTTTATGAGTAATAATGTATTGTCAATGAGATTCAGGCGAAAATAACAAAGGGCTATCAACGTCCATTCGAAAAGCCTTGAACTGGCTTCAGCAGGCAACCCTAGATAACGCTAATTTGATGCAAAACATGGGAACTGCATCGTTTCGACCGGCTACGCACGGACAATGGCGGGTGAGCCAGACGCGCACCGCTGGCTCCAATCCTGAAAATAGCACTATGTATCCACTTTAGTACGCATACGATTTAGATAGTTACTTTAGTATTGCCTTTTGCCCCGCCCACGGCCGCCCAAGGACACCATACGCCCATGTTGTAAAGAGACTCCATATTTATGGGTAGAAAATAATAACAGTACATAGAATTGTGGTTAAAAATGGTTTTTCATTAATTTAAGAATGACTATATTCGATGCGCATTTTTCGAAAAAAATATTGGATCAAATCAGGAAGTCGTTACAACTGATGATTTCAATTCTTGACCATAAACATGTGTAATTATATTCTAATAGGTTTTGTCGCAGTATCAGTTTGGTCCATTTATTAATATTTTATACAAAAATAAACACACGAAAAGTATAATAAAATATATTATAATTTAAGTGTACGTAATTAGCAAAAGTTTGATAATAAAATGTTTAAGACTTTAGCTCTTGAAAGTAAAAATAAGAACAAATTCTCAACACGTCTTCCAGACTTGTTACTTTTACCAGCGTTTTTAACCTTCGATTAGTTCCACGTTCATTATAAATATTTCGAGGCACGAACTCGGCGAAATATTCGATCTCTGATTTTTTTAAATCCTTCGTGATCATGGCGGCTACATTACATATTTTGATTTTAATTGTTTGGCCTTCAATTACAGCCTCATTAAAAACCGACTCAACCTACACTCATTACCCAAGAAAAATTTAGCATCACGGTTTTCAACATAATAGGTACATATCTCACTTTTTGTGACCATGTACAGACACAAAGTACTTAATTCGTCTCAGTGACTGCTCATTTCCCGCGCTCAAGGAAATGCTAACATTGCCGACTCATATGTAATTTTATCCAGTTTCTAATAAGTACCAGGAAAAACAAATTGTGTTCATGCAAATAATTGTTTTACATATATTTTAGTTAGACATTGTGTTTCTGTTTGACCATGAAGTCCCAAATAAGAGACAAATCCATGCCAGCTGTATACATACGAGTTATGTAGGCAATAATAAAGTTTTTTTAAAACTATTTATTTACTCAAATGTTTTAATATCATTTAATTGTAACATTGCTTGAAAACGTAAACGCTCGACGCAAACAATTGAAAACGAAATCATTACGAAGTCGTGACATGGCTTACGATCAAGATCATCGTGTGCGAGAACATTCCACCGTGTGCGCACTCGCTTACTTGTCCCTCGTTGCACTTTTATACCAGCGCAATTAAATATGACTTTTGAGCGAAACAGTGCAACAATAGAGCAGAAGTTGCCGACAACAATGAGTCTTATTCCACTAGCTGTGACCCCACCGTTGCTAAACTCCGACACAATGCAAAAGAAGCGCTTGTTGATCGTCTTTTAAACGATCTTGCGCTTCTATCGCAACGCTAATAGCACGTTGCGATGCTTTATCGGGCCAAGGTCCTATTGCAACAGGCTTTCTAACACCTGCGACTGGGACTACTGTTGCTACTTTTGGCAATCCAAGAACACGTCAGCTGTTCACGTTAATTTAAATTCTTCTCACCTTTTAACCTTTTTAATTTGGTTGGGAAACTAGAATTGTTTGGTTAAAAGCTATTGTATCGTTGTCAGCAGTAAATAGTGTATGTGAACATTTGATTTTACCGCAGATATCGATTTCAATTTCGCGAGCAATGATATTGAATCATTTGTTATCGTAACAGTCGGCTGGCTGCAGCCTTGTCTTCCTTTAAACAGCAGATTTCAGTCTGGCATAGAACAAGGCTAATGAACCGAGAACGTAATGACGAACCTCAGTTTCGGTCTGATTTCACTTATTTACGTGTTGAATTATACAACGCGTCTGATCACGAAGGAATAATTGAACTCATCTTCCAATTAGTTAACATTATGCATAGAAACACAACGGCTAACGAAATTGATCATTTTTGTTAATCGATTCTTTTAATTGTTGTGTTTTTAACTCAATCAACTTTAGATTTTAATAGCTGCACTTCCTTATGACTGTAACTGACAGCAAAAACTTAGATTATTATAATGATTTCATGTCTTCACACGTTAGTCAAGTACAATAGGTATTTGTTACGCCTCGAATTTCACACAATTGTAAAAACTAGAAGCACAATGATAGTCAAGATAGCTTTTGTAATTTTTATAAGTAGGTACTCGGTTTTATTATTTTACTCTTTAAATTTCAATGATAAATATGGAAAGGAAAATGTTTTATTTAAAATCAAAATCAAATTGCCCGTTCAATATTAATGTGTTAATTTACTTTATTTTCGTCCACTTCAATTTTTTCTGTATTTTTATGAAATGTTTCTTTTGCAGTGCTGGAATGATGGGCGAGGGCCTGCTGACTCTGACGTACGGCAAGCACCACGCCTGCATCCTGAACGAGGTGGGAGCAGCGTGGCGTGGTGCCCGCTACTCAGACCTAGTTCTGGTTTGCGACGACGCTGTACCGCTGGCCGCGCACAGGATCGTCATGGCCGCTGCTAGCCCACTTATCAGGTAGCTTTTAACTTCATTTTTATACTTCGTAATAATTGTCATCATACTCACGAAATCTCTCTTCTAGAGTTGACGAACATTGAGTGCATCCGTAATTGCTCATATACTTGTGTAGTTATGATCTCTTTGGCTGCTACGTAGTTGAATTAGGCTCAGTCCAAACCTTACTTACACTTGATATTTTCTATTACATCATCAACATTCTATTTGTTTCAAGCTCAATTAGTTCTTAATGCCATATGAATGACTTTCTTTAAAACATCACGTCACTATTCTTGGTCATTTTCACGGTAATAGTACTTACAATAGTTCTCGAATACACATCAGTGTAATCTAATCTTAATTATTTAATAAGGTTAATTGGTAAGCCAATCCAATGACACAGAAGTAACCGGTATCTAGTAGGTGTAAGGCAATAAGTACACAAAAGAAATACATTGTTTGGACTTTAAACCAGGATGTTTTATAACATGTTCTATGGTATTGAAAAATTAATTGATTAAGCTTAGATCTTATACTATTTTACTCAGTAATAATGCAAATTTAATTAATTTCCAGGAAAATACTAGATGATACGCCGTCTGTCGAGAGTCCGGTCACGATCCACATGTCGGGCATCAGCAGCACTCTCATGAGGCATCTCCTTGTATTCTTGTACAGCGGCCAAGCCTACATTGAGGTTAGTATCCAACCAGTTTTATTTATTCACAACACACTACTGTATTATCATAACATTAATTAGTTTCCAAGTAACGCGTCAGACACCAACAAAACATTTGCATTTATAAATTCAACAAGGATATTAAACATTGTGTTTTTCTTTTACAGTCTGGTGAAATAGATGATATGCAGGAGTTGTTCGAGTTGTTGGAAATTAAATCAGATGTATGGAAATCAACGAAGGAACGACAACAGGCTGAAGAACGGAACCGGTCGTGCGACAGATTAAAATCAAAATCCTTAAAGACAGATATCAACAGCAACGAAAGCAGTAAACATGATGCACCCTCAGGATCTTCACATTCAGAGAGTGAACTCGCCGCCCCTGGTGCCGGTTACAGCAAAGACAAAGATGAAAACATGAGTATAAAGAAAGAAAGCATGTCGACCAGTAGCAACGACGAAAGAGAAGAAGAAGAACAAGATGGTGACAATAGGGACAAGGAATGCGGACGACTTATGGCTAGACGAAGAAGCTCTTCAAACCCGGTCAACCTATCGCTTGCAAGGAATTCAGAAAACACAGGCAGTGAACATGACGACTCACAAGACGTTGATGTGGAAACAGTTGCGGCAAAGGTAAATAAAAGTTTTCATACAAATAAAGTATTTTTGAGCATTTAGTAACAATTCAATACTAATCCCGAACCTTTATTTTATTACAGAATATTTCGAGAAGAAGATCAACATCGTCGAGCCAGGATGATCAACCACAAGAGACACACTATCGGAGACAGTTGCTAAGTGATCGATTAGGACGAGGAATCGAAAGAGCTAAGAGGAAATCACATTACTTAGAACCCCCAGAGTTAGATTTACGAACTGTCAAGTTAGAGGACTACGCACATCTTAAGCCACCTGATCAGGACCTCATATCATTGGTGCAAACTTCTCCAGAAAACTATGTCGTCACGCCTCACCGAAAACGAAGACCCGGCTTCCACAATTCACCGTCACAGAATCCTCCATTTGTATCATTCCCCCCAAGTTATTTAGAAGAAATGGCACATCTCCGATACACACAGGGACCTGGCAGCGCCGCCGCAGTTGCCAGTGCTCGGCTTGGAGTATTACATCCGCTGAGCACTTCCGCACCTCCGTACTTACCCGAAAGGAGTGCCACTCCCCCCACAGCAACGCACGAGGATGCACTCAAATATCGACCTCCAAGTGCAGGTTCGTGGGGTCCGTGGCTATGTCAACCTCAGATGGGTGGGGATGACACGCCCACGCCTGAACATGATCAAGGTTCGAGTAAACAAGCACCAGTCCGAGAGTATCGCTGTGAATATTGTGGCAAGCAGTTCGGAATGTCGTGGAATCTCAAGACTCACTTACGAGTGCACACTGGAGAGAAACCGTTTGCTTGTCGACTGTGCGTTGCTATGTTCAAACAGAAGGCCCATTTGCTGAAACATTTATGTTCGGTTCATCGCAATGTGATATCGTCCAGCGAGAATGATGGTCGGACGAACACACCGGGACGGTTCAACTGCTGTTTCTGTCAGCTCACCTTCGAAGCGTTACCAGAACTCATCCGGCACTTGTCAGGACCCCACAACAGTTTGCTTCTCAGTAAGAACTTACACGAATGACGCCCGTCCACCTGACGCGGGCGCTCGCGTAACTTTGGACTTTAAAAACTTCATCTCTCGATATGAGAGTTCAATTGTGATATGTGTTTAGAAGGATAATGTTAAGCGTTAGTTATAAGACATGTGATATCGCAGAGCGATACTCATAGTGAGGCATCCGTAGGCGATGACTGCGGGTGTGATGTTGATGACTAATAATAAATCACATGTTTGCCGAATGGGTCCAAATTGTTATAATTTGTTTAAAAATTATACTCCGGGACCAACACCTTCCAAGATAGTATTTATTTGAAAGATGTATTTCATTAGGGTAAATATTATTAAAAGCCACCGACACATTAATTCCTTAAGCATAGAAAATAGACACATTTGTCAAAGAAAGTTGCGAAGTATGTGTAGACCTAAACAGATAGCGTCACATTAACTACCTCCTAATTTAAATCAGTATCTTGATGAATCTACTGTGGCGTTAGCATGGGTTCGTATTGACTTTATACTTTACGAGTATACAGTCAATAGATCTAGTCAGAATTGGAACTAAGATTTCAACAGTTGTACCTTGTACACATTACGATTGGTATCGATTCATCGCGACAGTACTTTGGTGCTTCTAGTAGCTTCATTAAATATTTTAAATATTGTGTCAAAGACTCCTTTGCTATGTTTTTCAGGGTCATTGCCCCCACTTCGTTCCAAACCATCTGACTTGGACATTTCGCAGCTTTTTAAGACATTTACAATCTCAATATTAGGATTTATTCACTTTATGTAACTTTTAGAAAAAAAATGTGTTCGTAATATTATAATTTATAGTATGCACATCCTTCCAATCGTTCGTGCCGATTTTGCAATGTGGATAAGCACCAAAGATTTGTAAAGCAATAAAAACGTTTTGGTGTACAATTAAGAGAAATTAAAGGGACCTGAAATGATTTTGATTTTGTTAAACTTAAAGTATGTAGGTACCAATTTAATAATCTCATCTGTAATTACTAACGTTCAACTTTCTATAACCATTTCCATAATTCCGTTGCGAACTTTATGATGCTTGAATATATTCTTATTTTTGGATTAATTTACTTTAGTGTTAATACGAAGCTTACCAGGCATTATTTTCAAATGAATATTTTTATCACTAGTACCTTAGCTTTATTAAAAATCTTCGAAACTTATTTTCGATGTCGCTTTTTATCGAACACATTATTGTGGCCAGTTATATTAAAGCTATTATTGTAGTGAAGGCTGGATGTTCATCTTAATTAAGGCTTCTATAATACAAAGTATACAAAATTAGTGATCGATTCTTTCGTCAGTACGATGCCAAAAGTTTTTTATTCAACAGTAGATTGTATTGTACGTTTCGTTTGTTTGAAAATTTTATTTCAATAAGCCAGTTCAATACTGTACTCAATTGGAGAATATTTTCCGTAATACTCATTTTGTACAATCCTTTTATACGTACTTTTATTTGGAATTCCAATTATATTTTTGGTTGACTTAATTCTTGCGGATACTTGTCAATGCAATGATTGTTGTTAATTATTTACTTCATTAAAACTAAAGTTACCAACGAGTTGTTCAAAACTTAGATTAAAACTATAAAATTGTCGAGTTAATTTAATGTCTTTTTCGAACGTTACCTATTATACCTGATTTTTATCGTTTTTTCGTGTTAATCGACGTCGATGTTGACGTTAATTGTAATTGGGGAACAATTTAATTTTAAGGATTGTGATTTCAAGGAATCGTTTAGATTTATTCTATGTGATAATTGTCTGTTTTGTCTTAAGTAGGCACGTTGAGAACGCTGTCTTCCAATGCGTTTTCCATTTTTAAATCTTTAGCATTAAGACACACGGATTTTTGAAATGGCATGTACTTATTTTCTTTAGTTCGCCTTTATTTCATTTTGTACACTGCGTAATGAATAGTACAGAACGTTTCTCCAAGTCCGTGTGTCTCAATTCTCTGTAAATAAAAAATGTTAGAATGTAAGTCAAACGATGCATGACAAAAAATCGTCCACAAACCGCTGCCTAACCTATACGTAACTTGAACAAATTGTATTTTTATAAATATTTTCTTGAGAACCACTTGTAGAATAGGATCGTTGTGATATTATCGGCGAAGGTCCGAATTGCCTTAAAATATTAAATATCAATGCAAGTAGGTATCTTACTTAACGTAGTTTGTGTGTTTCTTAGCTCTGTTATACAGAAATAAACACAAATATCCATTAATTTTTGCAAATAAAGAAGTTTGGAAAACACATTTTGCCATTTTTTGTTCATTTGAATACATTTTCTTTTTAAATTTTCAACCCTTATACAAAGTTTATTGTGAATTAAAATTTTAAACAAACAGATCTAAGAAACACCGAAACCCGATTCGAAATATTAATTTGTAAAAACATGACTTTGTTAAGGATTAAAAAAAAGAAATTGTAAATATAAAACTAGATGTAAGTCTTAATAGTAAATAAAGCTTAACTTAATATTGTTGAACTTGAATATTGATTTTTCTCTGTTAATTGTAAATTAAAAAAAAATAGTAAGTATTTGATAAGTTTTCACATACTTGTACAATTTTATGTAGATATTGTTTAGAAAATAACATTCTGTAAAAATGTGTTCTTACCGTAGTAAATTAAATAACGAGAATATTTTAGTTACACACTTCAATGTTGTTTATTTCATTCCGTTAATTTATATCTATTTATTACCAGTTTAGTACCAGTGGAAATATAAAAAAAGAACCTGAGACATAGAAAGTATAAAGTAAAGAAAACACATGGAGCAGCACCTTACACAACACACATGCAATACAATTATAAGACAATAAAAAATATAATAAAATGCAGTAGGGATAACATCATGCAATCAAATACAGTAACAAGAACCAAAAAATAACGTGACACGCAATAATAAAACTAATACTTAAAGGAAAAAGGTTGACAATAAGGAGACAAGATTTGATCACCATTTCCGAGAAACCTATCTCGGGTGCAAATCTCGTAAAACATTTTCTACGGACACAGTCTATCCATAGGCTTTCTTCTCTTAAAATAAGAAAATAAGAATACTGAGACATAGCGAGACCAAAGCAAACAACACCCTATAACGTACTACTTAGAGAACATCCTTTTAATATTATAAACGCAAAAGTTATTAGGTAATGAGTTTGATAAAAATTGGGACAGATATAGATTATGGTCTAAAATAATACATAGGGTACTAACATTTCATCCGGGAAGCGCAGCTGAAACTACTGGCAGAAGCTAGTTATACATATAAAGACGATATTTTGGTACAGTCTCCATGCTTGGTAGGCAAGTTGGCGATTGGAGCGAGATACAAATTTGGCTGAAAATCAAAAAGGCTACCGTCTTTGTGAAACAGATAGACCTTTAGTCATCCCTAATTACATCTGTAAATAACGAATACGCGACAGTAACCGATAACCTGATGGTAAGCAATCGGCTCCGACCCGTATATCTGATATACCGAATTGTTATAAATGCAGAATTTGAGGGGGCTTTGGGGATTGATGATGAGAGAGGAAAAGAGGAAGGAGGCCCAACTTCCAATAACCACACTCACTCAGCGAAACACAAGGCAAGTGTTTGCTTAACTACGGATTTCTGTGAGGCCTTAGACTTCAACTTGAGTCGGCCCTTTCATGCCGAAGCATGGCTCTCCAACACTAAAATGTGGCTAAAACTTCAGCATTGTTTAAAATTACCTATGTGCAGATGCCAAAGCACCTGATAGAGACTGAGATAGCGCCAATAATTAAATATTAAATGGTGGATGCCATACTTAAAACAGTATATTTGGTAGTAAATAAAGGGAACATGAGCTTACAGCCACCAATTATTTCCAATGAGCCTGATATATAGCCCTGTAATGGCTAGAATTCATTAGCTAGCACTTGGAGAAATAACTAATGATCATAAATAAAGAGCCATAATTGTATGAAAGAGACATGAATGAGTGAGATGAATGGATTTACTTTGTAGGTATTACTTCCAAGCAAAAGACTAGCCTTTATCGCAGACTTAATCAAATTAATTGGATAGATAACTATCTAAACACTTAAAGTTAAAACTAAGAGAAATTGTTTGTGTTGAAACGATAAATAACTAAATACTTACAATGAGTGTGACCTATCCTCAAAACCCTGAACTATGATCGTCCTACTTCTCAATTAACGCGCAAAACTGTATGTTTACATTACCTACATGTTATCGATTTAGTGCAAGTAAATCAATACTAGACTATCTAGTTCACACGTAAAAAGATAGATGGCGCAAAATTAAATACGAACGTGTGTGAAGTTTTTTAACCGGATCGGAGGCAAACGACCTTCTTGACCACTTATAGTTAAGGGATCAACTTCACTCATGGACCAGACGACCAGATGAATTATAATGCGCACACAGCCAGAAAAACAAGATAAGATAGCGCTGTTTACATGCTCCGATTAACCCTTTTTGCTAGATATACTATGAGTTCCATGAAGTAGGGGTGCCCACCGGGATTATGCTATTGTACCATTGCCATACACCGTATCCTATTTTGAAAATAAATGCAACGAATGTTGAACTCCAAAATGAGAATATTTTAAAGTCGATATCAGATTGTCGATATTCAAACCGGAGATCTTTCCTGAGTGTCAGACTTTTACTGGGTAAGAACCACCACGTTCTTTTTTACGTGACACCCGCAACACCAGGGGAATTACGAATGCGTTGTCGACCTCTTGGGAATTGGAGATTTCAAATTGGGGAAGGGGAAGGATTCTGCCTCTGGTAACCTCACTCACATGGTGAAACCATGCGGTGGTTGTTTCACGCCGGTTTTCTGTAAGGTCAAGCCAATCCGTTCGTGCCGAAACAGTCTCCCACACTAATTAAGTATCCTTTTCCTGCTCCAAGCCGAGATCGCAACATTATTGCGCGTGACCCACAACCCTGAACCCGAGACCTTACTATCGTGCTTAAGTATGACTCAACCAACAAAAGAAAATTAAGAAAAATCAATGAAATCAAATGACATAGAAAATTCAAGTAAACTAGATAATAATAGATATTATGAAGAAGGCATTCTATTGGTCAAAGTAAATTGGGTTACGTGTGGTCACGCTAGGAAGCCGTATTACATGGAGGTGTAGAAGCATCGCAAGTTGTGACCTAACGTCTGCCCAGGTGAGTTGTATACACTACAATACTCTCTTTAACTTCATTATTTCAATAAAACATATTAGAAATATAATAATAATTCACTCCATTATCCTTTATCCTGTCAATAATCATATTTGTAATCATAGCAATAACATTATTTCTCGATTGTCTCTCAACGAATACCTTTTCTAAGATGCTAGCGAACCCCCCTGGTTTCCCAAGGATGTAATACTGAGACTAAATTTCTCCACTATTTAGTGGATGGACATATTATACACTTACCTCTTCAATCGCTCTCAAAAAATCCGAATCATTTTCCGTTGCATAGTTCTAAAGATTTAAGTATACATAGGGATAGCGACTTTGTTTTATACTATGTAGTGATTCCCTAGCTGTGAGACCCTAACTTCAAGTATCGAATTGTTTTCACAACTAGGCTTGCTGTTAACTCTATTTACCTTACCTACCTAATCTACCTTTACTACCTGAAGCAGTTCAGCTTCCCCTAGCTGCACTGATGACATACTGAGGTACTTTTCCATATTTGAACTTTTAAACGTAACTGCATAGCGTCGTTTATACGTCGTAAAGATGGGCATAATGGTACAAGTAACATAGTTATATGTTTTTTATAAAAATATAGACTATAGACTAATGATATGTTTATTCCAATAACAGTTTTAAACACCGCAAGGAACACAGTGAAAAATCTCACTAAGATTTTACACATTTATCCTGATACCAATTTTTTTATCACAATGTTAAATCGGAACGAAATTAGTGACTCTTTCACTCGAAAGCCTTTTGTGAATTAGAAAAATGTTTCTACTATATCTTCACCTGGTAGGTAATACGTCTCTTATTTCCTTGGAAACCGTACGTTAAGTACCTAGTTACGTTCAAGTTCAGTACTAGTACCTGTGTTCGTCTATTTGCTTACGTTGTAGGCAATTACAAACAATTTTAAAAACAAGCATCCGCGTCATCTTTGCAGTCCTCATTAGCTTAATTAAGTGTCTACCGCTAAACAATGACCTCTTCTAACAATGAGAAGGTTTGAGCATTAATTTTATTCTCTTTTTCTTCTGTTTTTTTGAAACGTGGGCAACGTTTGAAAAACTCCACCAACCGGTGTAGTCGTATTGTCATACTTACTCAAGGCATATTGGTTTAAAACTAAAAAATTTGATTTTTAAGTCCAAGTTTCCTTACGATGTCCAACTTTCCTTCACAGTTTATCAGTATTGGTAAATATTCTTATAAAGTATACACAACTCGTATAGAGTCTTATTGGTACTTGATAGGTTGCAACGCGGAGGAGAAGCGGTCCATAGACTAAGGTCCGCCGGGGTTGCGGGGTAAGCGCAATGAGGCACCGCGACCTCGGCACAAAGCAGGAGAAGGAACAGGGGGGTTTTTAGTCAGTAAGAGTCTGACACTCCCTCCAATCTGATCCTCCCTCCATCTAGAAGTCATTTGATGATTTTCCCCTCACAAAAAAAAACCCCTACATACCTGCTCATGCATTTAGTAATACCAAAAATTACTAAATCGAGTCGCTATATGTACATACGTATGAAAAAGCTAAGGCATAAACCATCCCAGTCGGTCGTGCAAGTGCAGGTACAATCATTTACCGCAGTCTCGGACCGAAGCTGGAGAAGGAACGGGGTGGTTTTTAGTCAGTCTGACCCTCTCTTTCACCCCTACTAGAGCCTGAGAAGTCAGTGGATGATTTTCCCTACTTTAAACCTATTAAAACCATGCTGACATTCATGCAAAAATAAAAAGACCCTATTTACGATTTATTTCTTAAAATAAAATAAAATTAATTGAATTTTGATGTTATATAAACCATTATTACCTCGTGTAGTAGAAGTAACCTAACCTCATTTCAATTATAATTTATACAGAACCTGATGATAAGAGTTTCCTTATTACTTCTCATGATTTATTTGAATCTTGAAGACCAGTTTTTTTATAAAATGGGGATGCAAAAGAACAGACGGTAGAAGGGGAAGGAATGGGCGCTGCCCGTGACTCTCGCAACACCAGCTTATGTAGTTACGACTACATATATTATATCCATGCCCTTGATATATAATTAATATTTTACTTAACATAGTTAAGAATGTTATTATGATCTCACTTGCTATAAGTACTAACCACTAATGTTGCACAAGGTACACAACCTACATCATCATCATCAGCCTATAAGTGCCCACTACTGAGCAAAGGCCTCTTCTCACACGGAGAAAGTTTGAGCATTAATCACCACACTTGCTCAATACGGGTTGACGATTTCAAACTTATAATTAGAATTTATAAGTCCAGGTTTCCCCACTATGTGTACCTTCACCGTATGTCAGTGGTGTCTAAAAACCATAGAAAGTAGGTACATATAACTTGGAAAAAGTCGCATCGCTACTTGCTAGGTTTCGAACCTGCACACTTATGCATGCATGACATGACACAACCTACAGCTAACACACTAATGTAGAAACTTGGCCCTGCTGGATCAGTCAATAATCACGATGAGCGCAGACTTGCTCCAGCAGAAGGCTTTTAAAGAGCATTTCGCATGAACAGGAGCCAGTTTAACGATTTTTGTGGTTAGGGATTTGAAGATTGAAGGGCCTGAGACAAAGAATATCACATCGTTCTTTCTTTTGATCTTTATTTACTTATCCACATTACAAAGAGACTAATAGTATACACAATTATATTAAAATGAGCGAAATATAAAGTATTAATGCCATTAGCGCCTTTTTCGTCGAAATTATTTTAATTGTCATTATTTACTTTTTTATTTTAAAAGCATCTTCGACACACAAGAAAAGTCTAATAAGGCAATACTCCATTAAATACATAACATAAATAAATTTAATTCATAACCATGTAAATATTTATACTGGTCGTAAACTTTACGATATACACTATACACTATAATCATAAATATAAATGGATAGTGTAATTGGCATACCTTACTTTTATAGATACTTACATTCATTTTACAAGCTGGCATGCAGCAGCAAATAGGCACATAAAAATTGTACATCAACATACACATACATAGGATATTGATATGATATTACATTTCATATCATATTATACATAACAAAAACCTTTTCAAGTAATCTTACTTAATCCAAAAACAGAAATTATAATAATTATCAAAAATGATTATTCTACTAATAAATGAAGGAATACAATATTAGCACACCAAAAACCGTTATATCACTAACCAAGAAGATGCAAAAGACAAGTGCTTATTCGAATGCACAGCGCCACCTATAAAATTATTTGTTGAAATATAATAAAAATTTTCGTTGTTTTTCGTCGTGTGACTGAATCTCTATCTATCAAAATCCTTATTTCAAATCCCCAATTTATCCCCAAAATACGAGCAACGCGCTTATTGTAACTGTCTTGTTGTGAGTATAAATGCACATCAGGCGATCCGTTTGCTGGTTTGCGATCCTGTGCTATAAAAAGCCGCTTCGGAGGATTCTAATAAAAAGCCGAAGTATCGTAGTCAATAAGGTTGACAAGTTTAGTGCTAAATACAATATACGTAGAGCCTAGTTACAATGTAAAAGTAAGTATTCTCGTTGCAAACTTGCAACAAATTTTTATTCTTCGACGAACAAATAAGTCAAACATTCCTGTTTTGTAACGATCATTTGTTTTTCTTTTTACATTGTGCTAGCTCTTTAAATAGACATAACCATAATTAGTAGTATACAGGGGTTAATTATAAAAACGCCTTGTTTTATTTGTTCGTATACTTATTGTAATGTGGTTCCGTCGCTAGGTATAGTCAAAAATTTTGTTCTAACACGGTAAAGGTATAATATAAGTCCAAAAAATATGATAGGAAGAAGAGATCTTAAGTGGCTGTAATTATAATAAGTCGGACTCATTTCCAACTAATACTATTATAATAAGAAAGTTTGTATAATGTTGTTTGATTGTTTGTTTGATAAATAGATGAATGGATGTTTGATACTCGTTCAAGTTAAAACTACTGAAAGCGTTTAAATAACATGGATAGACTAAAATCGAGAATGACACATAGACTTCTTTTTATCTGGGTAACGCTGGCGATAGAAGCAAAATAGTAGACTAAACTGACATAGAATAAATACTATCCTTATATAAACAAAAAGTGGTTCCATTACCGTACATCCCTACAGGACCCTAAAAAACTAGCTAGCCAAGCAATTTAGTCCTACAGGTCTCAGTGTAAAAATAGATAGAAAAGATAGAAAATAAAAAGTGGGAGTTGGGCCCTCGAAACCGGTAAGGAGGCAGATGGCCCATGTCCTTTTACTTAGCCCTGGGAACATTCTTTGTGTCTGTGGTTGTTATTGCTATGAAGGATATGAAGTGTCTGAAGTAACTGTAGTTTCATGCTAGCGGTGTTAGAAATACGTATTTACTTACCTTATAAGAAATAAGTGGATTAGAAAATAAGTTTTACAAGGGGATGTGATTACTTAAATGATTAAAATATTGGAAAAGAGGATTTACGTAACTTATTCTTCTAAGAGCTGTATGCTGAAACTTTTTATACTTTTAGAAATAATTTCTTTTAGGCCTGAGGTGGATTGTCTTACATCAAGTAATCATGATTCTTATGACTTACATCTGAAAGTAATAGAACTAGAAAATTCTGTGACATTAAAAAAAGTCGAAACAACCCTTTCCACCTTACAATACAATAATAAACTAAAGCCAACAGCAATTGAATACTTCGAAACTTTCCTAAGCAAGCTGGCTAAACATTAAAACCTTCACATGGCTAGCCAATATTTATTTACTCAGTACTCGAGGCTAGCACGGCAAAGAAGACATCCGGTGGAAACACAAAGCAAACAAAGCATCCCCATTAACTCACACATGCGCACACGCACGTTACCTAACAAGGATCGCTGCGAAATTCATTACGGCAGCGGCCATCATAAATCAACCTTGACTTATGTACCTCAAAGTTTACGACCTCGAAAAAGGGATGTGCAAAAGCAAGATAAAGGAAAGTGATCCTAAAGACGTTAATTATAGCTTTGAAGATATACTTTAAGTGTGAGAGAGCCAAGCTTCGGCACGAATGGGTCGGCTCAACCGGAGTGATACCACGGCTTCACAGAAAACCGGCGTGAAACAACCACAACGTTGTGTTTCGCCGTGGGAGTGAGGTTACCGGAGGCCCAATCCCTACCCCTCCCCTAACCCTTTACACTCGTGACTCCTTTGGTGTTACGGGTGTCCATAGGCGGCGCCGATTGCCTTCCATCAGGTAATCCGTCTGCTTAACTTATCCCACGAAAAAAAGGCAAAATTTTAACTGCTCTCATTAAAGGGATAATAGACACATTCGCTTTGATATCAATATTTTTTAAGGACTTTCCAATTTTAGATTTTATTTTATACAGCTCTTGCTGTTCAAAAGAAATTCCATGAATTGTCATGTACCTACAATTAATCTCATCTATACCTGGGATAAGGTAATATGTTGAAATTACCAGCACTCCCTAAGGATAGGGCTTTGAGAACCGCTGCCCTAGTGCTTACTAGATAAGGTGTCCCATTAGATGCGTTTTCAAGTTTCAGACCGGTTTGGGGTGAGCTGCGAAGGTTTATAAGCGTGAGTCGGGACGTCTGTCGCCATTCCCGTATCGGCTCCCGGAGCTCATCTAGTCCATCCTTCTTCAATCCTTAGATCCTGGTTCAACAGTCAAGATGTTGCGACTTCTATTGTTGACGATTATCGCGACTGCGTCAGCGCAGATCCCTTCGCTCGGATGGTGTCCAGATTTTCAAGTAAGTGCTATAATTTTATTTTGTTTTGAATTTTGTGCTTTATTTTCTATTGTTTTTTAGTAGGATATGTTTGTAGATAATTGAATTCGATGATAACAAATAATTTTAAATTGAACAAAGAAATTAATTAATCTAAGCCTTATTTTCAATTCACTTTTCATCTTGAGTTTCGTAAAAAAAATCTTAAATGATTACAGTTAATGTGGTGTTTATTTATCATGGCTTACATAAATTAGACAATTATATATAAATTAGTAAATCTTGAAAGTAATTTTAGATCCTTTTTCAAAAGGAATATTATCTTGCACTTCTTGCAATGCAGTGGCAGATGTTATTAATCCAATTTACTCAAAATTAATAATGTAATTCTCAAACTTCTCCACTTGTCTATCTTAAACGTTTCTTTAATCTAAAACTTATTTTTTTTAAGTTTTATTGTGCATGGTCTTCTTATAAACATCTTTATCGATATCATTAAGGCAGCTTAAACTAAAGACAGAAATGAAATCGAAATCTTCATCAATATTACAATCTTTACATCAAATAAAATAGCAAACGATGGTATCTTTAGCAAAAACGTTGATCCTCCGTTGCCCCAACAAAAACACCCATGAACCTGGCCTTGAGAGGCTTGAACCGCCGTCACTGACCGTGGTCAACCCGTAACAGGTTGTGGGGCGTCGACCGCAACCTCCAGGTTAAGCACTTTCCTTTTCATTCGTACCATGCGAAAGATATGTGCGAAGACTCTAACTGGATAGATAAATATGTTTTGTGCTTTCGTTTCTGTGTTTGTTTTTTTAATTTTTATTCTATTTGAGATTTTTTATAAAAATATTTATCTTATTCCTTTTATACTGTTAAGGAGTTTTTGTAGTAATCCTTCTTTTTCATTTAGTTGCCCGATTATATTATTTTTTAAACACCGCTTATTGTAATGATATACATAAATGCTCATGGTATCCTTAACACAATATTTTGAATGAAGCCCTTACACATTTAAATTCAACTTTATTATTGTTTATTTAGTAGCCACCTAATGATATTTCCTTACCCAGGCTATGGCAAACTTCAACATGAACCGTTTCCTTGGAACATGGTATGAGGCTGAGAGGTATTTCACCGTCACTGAGCTGGGCACCCGCTGCGTCACCACTCACTACACCGCAACACCTGAAGGAAGAATCCTGGTCACCAATGAGATCACCAACTCCTTGTAAGTTATTGGGGATAATATTGGTCATATTAGAAAATTAGAATATGCGTGTGAGACAGGTTTTTATGCATTCGTACGGCATTTAAAACTGTTCATGTTTTAGTTGGATTGCTTAAATTTGCTGAAGTTGCCTAGTTCTCTAAGTTCCTAATGAACAACAAATCATTATGGTGTTGTACTTGATTGTAATATCAATACGATCTAAAAGCCTCTCAATCGCTATATAACTTCCAACAAATTAAATAGACGCAGAATTATTATGAAGTATGTCAGGGTAGAGTATACTCGCTATTTGTCTTTTTATTTTTATTATTTCACGTTCAGAGGTATTTCTTTTGGAATTCTAGACTTCGATTACTCTTTAAATAAAATTACTCGTTAGATATCCACTACTGCTTAATAGTTTTCTCACATAATTCCTGACTTTATGCTTACAAAGATGTGTACGCATTGAATTTTCCCTCAATCCATGTACACTATACATGCCTTTTCAAGTTTACAAAGTAAGCTTTCCGTAATATCATTAGGAAAAATTACATACTTACAACTTATGTTACTCGATCTAATTTTATATTATGTCCAAAGAATCAATTTAGTACAGGTTATATATTGAAATGTGGGTGGAGTGTAATCTGGGCGTGTGAGCCCCTCCTTCATTTCAAACGGCCCGTATGCAGCCTCGCATGACGAATAATATGTGTATATACTTGTATAGTTATTGTAAATAACAATATATAAGTACTATGTATGGATAAAAATATAGGTGCGACCAAACAAGTTTACACTAATAAAGAAAGTGTTTGTTGAATCCCTGATGCATGGATTCCCATTTATAAATAAGCAAATAATATTTGTTCGGTAGCCTTTGGCAACTAGCACTATCTCCGAGCTCGAGGCCTCAAAATCAAGCTATTAAAGCAATGAACAAAGAGCAAAATTGCTATTTTCGAAAGAATAGCGCTTACCATCATCAAAAAAATTACTTCCAATCAGGATAACAAATCAAATAATCTTATTCCTTAGGACTGGCTTCAAGCGGATTATGGAAGGTCACCTGCAGAAGGTCGGCAGGGAAGGCGAGGGCCGTGTCATGGTGAAATACTCCTCAGTTCCGTTGCCTTATGACTTCGAATACAGCATCCTGGACACCGATTACGACAGCTATGCTGTTATGTGGTCTTGCAGTGGTATTGGACCCGTGCATACTCGTAAGTAAATAGTTACTTGATGAAAATATATAAATTGATTTTATTTGACATGAAGAGATACTTATCTTTTCATGTAAGACTACTTTTTTCTGTAGTTTTCAATTTTAATCTAACAAATGAATCTTGCATATATTATTTGTCTATAAATACCTATACAGAACAATAAACCAATAAATGTCGTTTTTTGTCCCTAGAAAACACTTGGTTGCTGACTCGTGATAGACTCCCATCCCTGGCTGTGATGCAAAACGCGTATGCCGTCCTCGACAGGTTCAAGATCTCTAGAACTTTCTTCTTGAAGACCAACCAAGCTGACTGTACCATACTGCCTGAACCAGCAGCAGTGAGCGAACTTAAGAATGCTGATGTGCCTGTAGTTGCTGAGGAAGTTGAGAAAGAAAAGGTGGTCGAGCAACCTGTGGAGGTAATTTTAAATGTTTCTTTACTATTACATAAAGTAATTTCATTGAATGTATGTAACAAAAAGTAGGCAACTACTAAGCTTTAAGAATAACTATAATAAATTAAAAATGGACCAGTTGCCTGAGCAAAAGAAATTCAAACATAAACCAAGTTACATTTGAAATAGTATTAGTACGACTGTTACAATAGCAGTTGTAAATGTACATCTATAAGAAGTCTTGTGAAATGACAATTTTAAAACGCAAATTATCCTAAAGTTACGCTTTCTTTTTGTCCAGAAGGCAGTAGAGCCCGAAGTGAAGGCAGTTGAGCCCGAAGTGAGATCTGCGGTACCAGCAGAGATTGCAGCAGAAGAAGCTAACAAGCCGATGCAAGTCCCTGAACTGATCATGTCTGAATCTGAAAAGAAGGAAGAGAAAATTGAGAAAATAGAAGAACCAGCAATGATAGCCGAAATAAAGGAAACTAAGGAAGCGCCTGCACAGTAGAACGAATTTTGAAAGAATCAACCAGGGCTGTAGGAGAAGTAACTGAACTTGTCAGTGATGATATTCTTGTTTTTTAGAAACACAAAGAGAATACATTGATTAAACTATTAATATCACAGCATTTTGTTGCATCTGGATAAATTATCCAAGCAATTTGTGTTTCTAAAACTTTTGCTATGAATAAATAAGAAATCATTGCCGGCTAAATGAAGTTTACTTATAATACCTTAGTCATCATTGTCTAAAGTCTCGTTTGTATTTAAACTTTATCTGTACAGCCTTGTGGTTCATTTTAGTATGATAAGAAGTCATGTGTGGTGTCATAGATAGGGCTACTTTACCAAATAAGTAATGAGTACCTACTCGACACGCAGCCATGCTTGCTCCGTGCAAGTATCGCTTAGTTTTAACTCGATAGTCATTGTAATAAGCGAAGTCAGCTCTGAAATAAATTGATAAATCGAATTTTTGGTTTTATTCCGTATCTCAATCATTTGTTTTGTTAATATTATTATCCATCTTCTCTACCCTGGCCTTTTTAACTAGTTTATGTATTCATGGTTTCAAACAATTTTATTAGATTATATTTTGCGCATAGGGCTTTTTATCCACCCTGTACAATGATAATTATGATCTCACGAAACTTTGCAACAACAGGCATAGGTAGATGGAAAATATAAATTGCAATCAATTTTATTTTATTTTCATAAATGAAATCGCTAATTTACATGCATGTGAAAGAAACAAAAGAGATTGATGAGGTATTTGAAATTTTATAAACTTCATCTTAAACATTCAGTTACCTAAATATAATTTAATCACCGGATAAGTAAATAAAGAATACCTTCCACTTTTTAGTTTGTGTAGGTGTGCGTACCTACCCAAACTAAATAGATAATATAAGGTACGGAGTTGGTGCCGGGAAAAGGATGAATTTTGAAATAGCTTATTGAAAACATAAGCTGGTAATTTTCTCATTTTTGTTAGTATAGTCTAGTACTACATTGTTCAGTGACCCTTATCAGACATACATTGTTGCCTGTTGATAAGAAAATATTTTACGAACGTACCACTTTTTATATGCCTTTAATACTCAGATAAATAGGTACCATAATGACTACCGACTACAACAATTAGAATGTGCAAAAGATATTAATATCAACATTTGAATAGATTTCTAAGTTACAAAGTTAATAATTATGACTTAAACTTAATTTTTATATTAGGTAAGAACGTATGACCGATTATACAGCGAAAAAGTATCGTTTTTAACAATTCAATAAAAGTTTTAAATGCATTTAGTTTAATAAAACCTTATTAATTTAAGTATAAGAAACTATAGCGCCTCGCGCCCGCTTGGCACGGACCCCAGTACCGATGTTAGCAATTATAAAAAAATATTTTAAATTAGCTGATTATTACAATTTTGCTTTAATAAAAACATTTTACCTGTAAATTAAATGATATCACAATTTTGAAAAAAAAAACAGCAAAAGGAACGGGTCTGATTTTATTGGTCGGGCTGATACTGAGCACCCACTCCCGGCCGCTATCCCACTACTGCCCGATACGGGGACTTTTGGCTGCTGGGTTTCCCCCCTGGCCCGGTGCGCCCCTCCTTAGTAGACCTGCATCCCCCAGACTCCTCCGGGGGATCCATATCAATACCAGGCTTAGTGTGGACGTCCAGTCAACATGGGCCACTCAGCACCAGAACCCCCGACCTCAAACCATCCTCCGGTCCCGACCTCCGAGAAGCCGGATTACAGGAGTTGCCAAGCTCCCAGTCGAAAGACATGTTGAAATTTTCGACTAGTTGCTTCCAAAGTGACGTGTATTCGAATCTCAAAAAAGATAACACTATTAAAACCGAAATTTCTTAACAATGTACCTTCATTTCTACTTTTTGTATGTTTCAAAATAGAATTTTTAATTATTTATACTGAAAATCGTTTTTATTGATAAAAAAAGGTTATTTTACTAATTTTCATAGCGGTATCTACAGCGCTATCTACAGGCGATACAATGTACTATCATTGTATGTACCTACAAACTAGTCGCCGACGTACCTACTTGTTAGTTAACATGTTGTCCAACAGAGGGCGCTACTGTGTAACTGGCTACACGAGTTAAACAGTAAGTTCCTATATCATATATTTCGTGATAAGCAAATAAATTATGAAAATTTTTAAGACATAAGTAAAGAAGAACATATAATGTAAATAAATAAGAATAATATACAGGCGCATTTTTTTTAAATTGGCCGTAAATATCATGATTCTAGTTAATGAGAACCCTAAAATCATGAGTCTGCTTTAACTAAGTTAAGACAACTCCAAATCTAATACGACTTTATATTTTTCAAACGGTTCCTTACCTTTTCCAGTTTTGCAAAACACTTTAAACAGACGAGTGCAAATTGCAAATACTACAGAAAATATATTTTTGGCAGTAAACACGTAAACAATAATAAACAATAATGTCGATTCATGATAAAATCTATTTACTCAATCACTTGACGCTATATATTAGCTACACTCAAAATCAATACTTTTTGCCTAACCATTTTCCTTAAAATGCCTTTAACTTTAAAGGTGCAATTTAAAATACATTATACATACATACATGTACTTAATATTGAAATAATTCTTTGGATTTCAGTTCTATTCTTTTATTGCAACCTACTACCTACCTACCATTTTCTATTAGTACATCCCTTAAAACATCAGCCGGAGTTGGGGGACAATCGCATTTGTATATAGGTACGACACCCTAGACGAAAGAAGTAATTTGTTATTTTGCCCACTCAAAACGAGTCGCCTTAAAAATAAACTGCTAATATTAAAGAGACCCAAAGAGGAAAATAAAAATAGGTAAAAAAACTTTTTAAGTTAAACGGTTTTATGTTTGCATTGCAATGTTTAAGATAAATGTACTAAAAACCAACAAATAATAAAATAGATACAGTCGTGGAAATTATAAACATATGCATAGACTAGACTAAAATAAAACCGTGGGGCACGTCAATTGTCTACAATCGTTGATTAAAATGTTTGTTTTGTAATGTACAATAGATAATTAGGCAGTTGTACAACTGTCAACGATGGACTTGTTATAAGTAGCGCTAGAATGTGGAAACGAGTTTTAGGGTTTCATAGTCGTGAGCGAGTAGTACGTTTATTATATTTACATGGAGTGTATAACTATTGGAATTTCCATGAGCAAGAAAATAGTAAGTAATTTCCTCACCGTCTGCAGGTCAACTGCCTAACGACGAATTAAACGACTCTTCTATCGCACATTAAGTCGATAATTTGTAGACAATTGACGTGCCCCACGGTTTTATTTTAGTCTAGTCTATGCATATGTTTATAATTTCCACGACTGTATCTATTTTATTATTTGTTGGTTTTTAGTACATTTATCTTAAACATTGCAATGCAAACATAAAACCGTTTAACTTAAAAAGTTTTTTTACCTATTTTTATTTTCTAGTTTTTAGTTTTTATTTCGCATTCTGTTTAATTCATTTCATGTTTCATTATTGCAAGGTTTCTTGCCCGTTAATGTATTGCAGTCCAACTCTTCTATACGTTGTCCCTGCAAAGATCTTAATCCACTAAGAGCCACCTGATTGTTCCTGTCGTTTCAGTAATCGACTACTTACTATATATCACCTTCACTTTCTTTAGCTCGTCGTTTTGCTTTATACTTTTCTTTCGCTTTTTGAAGCCTTTGTTTACGTTGTTTTGCAGTTGCTGTTTTATTTGTTTTTTTTTATTGATTATAGGTTTGCGCTTGACCGCTATCTCACCTGATGGAAAGCGACGATGCGGTCGACGATGGAGCGCGCTTACCTAGAAGTAACCTATTCACTCTTGACTTAAAGATACCCGGATTGTAGCTATCAGCACGTCGATTCTATAAAATTCTAACACGAACTCGCATGTCAAGTCGATATTCTCTCTCACTTCGCATAAGGTTCAAAATGGCGTTGATTTTGCATTCTGTAAGCATCACCTAGGCACTTGCGAAGTGAAGTGAAGAGAACTGGTACTAGTGTGGTACCATACTCCACATAATGTAAGTCGAGATTTATCGGTTTTTATTTTAACAAATTTTTGACACAGAATTTTAGATATTATGACGTATAAATTGAAATTTCTTATTTTAAGGAAATTAAGGCAGCTAATTATTACAAAATAAACAGAAAACTGTAAATTCAGGCGATGAATATAATCTGTGCTACGTTTACCAAAAAGAAACTGACAGATAATGTCTTCATTCATTGTTGACAAATTCTTTGTCATTTGCTTTGTATTATTTTGTCCACGTTTGGTTTATTCGTATATTTTTTCGTTTCGTGCTTGCCGATAAAAAGAGACATCATAATAATCATGAAGTAAGTTTTATTACTGGTTGTAAAGTTCAAAAATAATATTTATTAAAGAGTGTTTATTTTGTTTTCTAATCAAACAATAATGTTTCAGTCCAAATGAGATACGTTCCTCACACCAGTCGTCATCTCAGGTTGAAACCTGGCTGGCGAAGGGTTTCTTGAGAACTCAAGGTGCCAGAGAGCGAAAGCGACGCTAGTGGAAGAAACTAGCCGTGTGCCTGAATAGTATAGGTGGCACTTTCAAAACTTATAAACAGAGGACCAAGGTGAAGTAAGTAGTGCTTACTTTGGCATGTTAAAACCATTTAATATTCCTTAATGCAAGCCACTTAAAATAGCGATGAATCTTGGCGTGCTCCTTGGTTATATAACTTATCTTATTTTAATTTTACATTGACTATTAATAATAATAAAAAGTAAGGCTTTTTTTAATAACTTCTTTATTAATATAAATGTCTGCTTGTAGTATTGGTCTGAGAAAAAAGCGCCATAAGAAGCTCAGCAGCTAGGCGCGGGACAGGACTGGTGTGGTGGAAGATGAAGTTGAGCTATCAGAGGTTGAAGAAAGAACTTAATTTTTGGAACAAACGACAACGAAAAGCTGCAATTTGTTAAAGAGATTTTATCAATG